GAGCCAGCACAAAAAGAGATGTTTTCAAGACGAGGGAAATTGTATCTTTATTTTACCTCTGTTTCAACAAAGGAGAGGAGAAGGAAAAAAAATGCAGCCTGTTTTTGCCCCGACCCACAGCCAGAGACTTCTCTTTGCCTCCAAAACTAGTTGAAGACCCACCACTTCAAAAACTCCAGTTTGTGCTTGCAAATAGCTCATGAGAGGTATAAAATGACCATCTCAGGGTCCAGCTTTGACAGATACACATTGCAACAGTCAGAGTTTGAGAAAAAAATGTTGTTCAAAGGTTTTAACTATACTGGTAAACCCTTGCTAGTCAATCAGGAGAGCGCCCAGTTATGACCTGCCTATGAGAACAGAGCAAAACCAGAAGCCACTGTTCAAGCAGACAACGTCTGAGCTTTTCATATGCATCCTACAACTAGTCTCAGGTAAGAGGCTGGCACACCACCAGTTCTTGAGGGAGGGATGTCTTGCAGGTCCAGTAGAAAAGAAAGTGGAATTAAGTTTTTGGGTCTCCCCTGTACCTTTTCTCTGAGGAGGTACCCACTCATCTAGAAATGAACTTGCTTACATAGCTTATGGTAGTGCCAACTCTCAGTCCAAAGACTTTTCGACAACCTATTTCAGCAGAATCTTCATCCAGCCAAGACTCAGACCTTCCTTCCCAAAGACCCTCTCGCTATTTTTTATACCTTTTGTGGCTCCACTAGCTGAAAGATGCCTTCCTTAATTGACCGACTAAAGGCTCTTCTCTGTCCTTCTCCTCTTTCTGGGAAGCTCAGATAACTGCTAAAGCACCCCAACTACGGAGTCTTTCAGAGATGTTCCCCTCTCTTGAGAAGCAGGGGTAGAGCATCCCAGGTCCAACTGTCCACTCAAAGAGTCCCAGTGGTGCAATCACAAAGCATTGGGAGACATTCAACATGATGCTGACCACCATGCAGCTCAGATCCTCCTTTGGACTTGGGAAATTTTGCATCCTCATCCTCCTGGCTGCAGACCAAGCCCTGCCCTTCACCCAAGACCTGTGACACAGCCCCTGCACACAGAGCTGTACTGACAGCCAAACGCCAGTCCCAAGCCCACCGTACCTCCTCTCCACTATTGCCCTGTGTCCACCAGCCACCACAGAAAGCCACGGGGGACGTGATAGCTTCTTGCAAGGGGCTTGCCCACCCAGCCCAAGCAGGTGTACCCCGGTGAAAGGCAAAGCGAGAGCAAGGGCCAGGTAGCGAGCGGCTGTTACTACCTCTCTGCAGGAAAGAGGACGTTCTCTGGATAAACCCTGATGGAGGAACAAAATGATGGGAGACAAGGCATGAGGTGGGCAGGGAAATAAACATGGGGATGGCAGCAACGGTGGCAATGACCCAATTAATGAGTGAAGAGGGAGGCCAGCGCAGCGTGGAGAGCTGTGGGTGTCCATCCAACCTTTGGCAGTGCCGCAGGAGGCACAGGGGGACATGAGACCGGGACCTGGAGGCTGCAGTGAAACCCTGGGTGGATGGAGGGGGCACACTGTGTCAGGAAGCCCTACACCCCACATGGGAGCACAGCTGGGGGTTGGCCCGCCATGGAGCCAGACCCTCATCCCACTCCAGGAAACCATGGCTATGGGTGAAAGGAGGAGCTGGTGGAACCGGCAGAGAGGAAAAGAGTCCTTACCAGACCTCTTCTTTCCAATGGGATCCCTGAAAAAGAGAAGGAAGAGTGTCAGCAGAGGGATAGGGCAGTTGGGTTGGTTGCTGGCCAAACAACAAACCCGCACAGAAAGCACAGCAGTGCTGACACTGACCTCTGTCAACCAACTGACATCCTCACGGGTGACATGGGGCATCACCTGCCTTGCAAACAGCCTTGTCTCCCTCCCCCCTCATTTAGTAATTTGATCTAATTTAATCCTTTCCTCTTTCCCAGGTTGAGGCTCGGCTGCTGGCCCGGGCTCCTCCGTGGCTTTGGCTGGCAGGCAAAAAAACCATGTCACTTGGTGAAGGTGGGTAGATTGGGATGATCTGGCAGCAGAGCCAGGAGAACCCTGAGAACTGCTCCCAGCAGAGACCACAGTTCCCACAGAAGTGGGCACCACTTTGAAGACAGACAAAGAGGGAAATACTGCAGTTCCTCCATGTCCCACACCTCTCTTGGGGACAAGGATGGGGAGTGGTTGGGGAAGGGGTAAACCAAAAGAGAACAAGTCATTAAAGTGTCGCAGAGAGGATGAACATCAGGGCTATGCAGCAGAAAAAGTGCCTTCAGGACAGAGCAAGCAGGAACTATTGGTGGTTATGAAGAGGCAATGAGGTAGCTTCAGCCCAAGACCTCTTTGGCACTGGCCAAACTGCTGATGAGATGGGTTAGAAACCACAGATTCTGGGTCCCTTCTCTTATCCAAATGTTGCCAAGAAACATGGTTGCTGAACAGCCTCAAACCCAGGGCACAAGCACAACCCTCTTCAAGCACAATGAAATCTCATGATTTAAAACCAAACACCAAATGAAAGAAAATATGGGCCTAGAAAAGCCTCAAAATATCATGGGTGACACACCAAGACCCTCAGCCAGCCTGAAACCCAAACAAATGCACCAGCTCTGTCCCCAGCCCAGCCACAGTGGTCCATGTTGCTGCAAAAGGGCTCTCAACACTTCCACATAATTCATTGCTATGGCTTTGAAATGCTGCTGTAGTGTAGGGCGATAGGAACCTGTTCCCTCTTCACTGACAGAGATGACTGCTTTCCCGGCTCCTCAGACTCACACCCGTGACAGATCAAGACCATCTGGCCAAGACGAAATGTTCTAGTACCAGGAGACACGCATCAATCCTTGTTACTTCCAGGAACAGTAACAAGCACAGAGCAGGCACTGGAACTTCCAAGGAGGAAAACATTCACCTGGTGGTAAGGGGACCCTCTGGAGGCTTCAAGCTGCCCCATCACCACTTGGAAAGACTGCTGGACCAGCCCAGATGGACCCCAGAAGCGCCTTCATCTGATTATCAAGTCCACTGGCAAAACAACCTTTTCCCCTCCGTCTCCTTTGTTTTCAGGCCAAGCAGAGAAATCCCTCCATGCTCAGCAAGAAAGCCATCCAGAGCTGGGCTATGCTTTGTTCTCCTTCAAGCTTATCTGCATTTTCAGACCATAATTACTGCAGACATCTTATTCCCCTGCAGTGATGGGGTGATGCTGGGATTTGGCTGCCTTCAAAGACTGCCCACCCATCCTGGCAATGTGTTTTGCTCACAATGGATTATCCTCCCAGACCCTGCTTCCCTTTGCATCTTAAACCTCTGGTACTCATCCATGGAGCCAGCAATAACATGAAATTAAATGCAGCAAAGATGGACTAGAAACAAATGGGACATTGTTATCTAGAAACTGGAGACTATCTGTTAAGTTCAGAGGCCAGAGAACTGTGCAAAGACCTGAATACCATGTCCTAGGTGCAGAGGCCAATGAAGAAATGGACTTTTTAAAAAAAAGTTAGTGATAGAACAAGGGGAAATGGGTTTAAACTGAAAGAGATTAAAGTTTAGATTAGATATTAGGAAGAAATTCTTTACTGTGAGGGTGGTCAGACACTGGAACAGGTTGCCCAGAGAAGCCATGGATGCTCTTCACTGGAAGTGTTCAAGACCAGGCTGGATGAGGCTTTGAGCAACCTGGTCTAGTGGAAGGTGTCCCTGCTGATGGCAGGGGGGTTGGAACTGGATGATCTTTAAGGTCCCTTCCAACCCAGACCATTCTATGATTCTATGAAATCTAATCCCAAAGACATTTCTAATCAGAGACCGCAATCCAGAGCTAAATCAGAGTTTAGCAATAAGCCCCATTAAATTTGCCCCTGCTCAGTGGTACGGTGGAGAAGGGAGGTGAAGCCAGGCCAGATGAGTGTGCTGAAGATCAGCAGGTGGGCATGGCACCCTCATGCTGACAGGAGGGTGCTGATAGAAATAACTGTTGTTTTTCCCCTGCCATCTGCTAAACCTATTACTGTAACTCATCCCCCTGTTTCCTTTCACCGGCTGCTCCATCTGAGTGAGGGGGCAAGGAAGGAGCTGCAATTTCACTTTGCTGCTGGGTTGTTCCTGGCATGGATACAAAGAACTGCAGGTCTGAAGACCACCAGCCCCAGCCCACCTCCTCAGAGGGGACAAGAGCTCAGACAAGACAGGAAACAGCAATAAAGTCCCATCAGCATCTCCTCCTCCTCCTCCATTCCCCATGGACCAGAGAAAGGCATGCAACAGAGCCTGCATACACGGCTTCTGGAAACCAGTGCCTCCAGAAAGAGGAGAAAAAGGAAAGATCACCCTGCCTTCCACTGTGAAACTCATTTAGTTCTCACCCCCACAACAGCTAGGCTGTGCAGATGAACCAGGCAGCCAAAGCACAATTACAAGGCACCAACAAACAGCTATGACTGTGTGCCACCAACCAGCCCCACAAAGCTTCCCAGGTGGTAAAACCCATGACTGGTTCCCCAGCTGCTTCTCAGGATTTTCCCAGCTCCTTGTCAGGAACACTGAAGGTAAAGGTTCCCGTGTGACGAGTCTCACTTAAAGCACTGAGCTAACAAGACATTCTCAGGGTGCAGGGGGCTCAGTTCAGTGTCCTTCAAGAACCTAATAATCCCTCAAGTGCAATCCTGAAAGGAAACTCTTTCACTTGGAGAACTCTTAGCACCAATTAATACTGCCTATGCCATTATTATTTTTTTTTTTAGGAAGAAAGCATCAGGTTTCTCAAGCATTTTCTCTAGTGTATCAGACAGCATCCCTCTGGATCCAGCGATGGGAAGGCGTGAGATGGGGAGAAGCGAGGCTGTGATGAAGGCATGAGGCAAAGCTAACAGCTTGGGAGGTAGGTTCAGAACAAACAGAAGCTGACTCTTCTTCAGCAATATGTAGGTGAGCTGTTAACTCCACTGGGGGCCCAACTTAAATGCCTC